CGTCAATTCAGGACCTTTCTCTATTAAAGTCAAATTCTGCAAGAATAAAGCATGGTAACTTACTGTATTACTCACCATTACTGTATGGTAAGTCCTTGTGCTACACAGTATATTTTGCTGCCCTCCACGTGGGTGCCTTTCTTGTTTTCTTTAAAGTGATATCATGGAATAAAACAATGTTGACTACAAAAGCATAAAATACAAGAGAGGTTTAGAAAAACTGATCAAGTTAGCTCAAAATGGGTGAAAGTGGACTTCCTAGGTCAATAAAGATAGGCAACTACTGGAGAGAGTCCAGTGGAGAGCTACGATGGTTATCGAGGGAATGGAGCACCTCTCCTATGATGAAAGGCTGGGAGAGCTGGGTCTGTTTAGCCTGGAGAAGAGAAGACTGAGAGGAGATCGTGTCAAGGCTTACAAATATCTGAAGGGCAGGTGTCAGGAGGATGGGGCCAGAGTCCTTTCGGTGGTGCCCAGTGACAAGATGGGGCAAAATGGGCATAAACTGTAATGCAGAAAACTCCATCTCAACATGAGGAAAAAGTTTGCTGTGAGGGTGCCAGAGCATTGGAACAGGCTGCCCAGAGGGGTTGTGGAGTCTCCTTCTCTGGAGATACTCAAAACCCACCGTGATGTGTTCCTGTCCAACCTGCTCTAGGCGAACCTGCTTTGGCAGGGGGGCTGGACTAGATGATCTGTGAAGGTACTTTCCAACCCCTACCTTTCTGTGAAAAATCCATGTATATACAACAAAGATACAGCAAGAATATTGTATATTATTCACATACAAAGTTTGTATTCTGTAAGAAAATACTGCCAAACTAGAGAACATAAGAACTTGTTTATCAGAAAAAACTCAAGGCCCCTGTAATGAAACCCAGCAGGTTTTGACCAAATTGAATGAAGAAGAATTTATACACAACACTTCAGAGTTCAGTCTATGTGAAAAAGTAGAAATGAAGCACTTTCAAAAAAGCGGCTGTCCCTCAAACAAAATCATTAACGATAATATCCAGAACTCTAATAACTATAAATAAAAAGAAATGTGCAGTCAGGCCTCCTACATTCATAATTTCATAAAGTTTAAATTTCCTTTTTACTTCTTAAGACCAGTTATTCCTTTCTTCCAGCACTTCAGGTTGCTAACAATTTGATTTTAGCATCCTACTAAAAAAAATGAGGCAGAGCATTTTATAAGAGTCTGAAAAGCAGTAAAAGACCAGACTAACAGTGTTAAATCTGTCTGAAATAGCTACAGAAACGGGCATTGTCTTCACAATAAATAGTGTGGAAAAAACAGTTTAGTTGTTTGTGGGTTTTTTCAAACTTTGATCTAGATAGAGGAGACTTCTGTTTCAAGTCAGTACGTAAAAAAAGGAAGCCAGCCCTTGGCTGTGTAAAATAATTTGTAATTTAATTTTAAAAAGTGAAAAGAAGTCACATAAAATCATACTGTCAATTTACAAAAACATTTTCTCCATCTCACCACAAAAATGCATTCAACAATGTATTCATTATTGCTTAATTAGCATAATTTTGAAGTGATTTGTCTGTTAGTATTTCTTAAAAAAATAGTATTTGTTGAATAGTCAAGATAAATACAGAGTTTTGACTTGAAAGCATGCAAGTTTTTCCTCTTGTGTACCAGGGAATTTCTATACTGGCATATAGGATAATAATAACTGGGTTCAGTAGGATTGTTTTGGATTGTGTCTCATACAGAGTGATAAATGCTACGACAGTGCCACAGGAGAAAGTGGTTCTTTGTTTTGGAAACTGGAAGTAGATTTATGTACGTTTTTATTGAGGATGTCTTAAGAGTGTCTTGGAGTTGGGTGTATGGATGGAAATTCTGAGGTCATTCTGGGGTGGCCAGTATTGCTTAGATTTCCAAAATTATCACTATGGTGGGCACATAAAAAAGTTTGGGTTTTTTTTGGTTATACTTTTTGGAATGTAGGTGGCTTTCCAGACAAGATTTTCCATTTTCTACCTTGCTCATGATAAAGGAATTACTTTAACTATGAGGTTGTTGTATAGTTACTATTGTAGATAGGAGATGGAGAATTAAAGTGCATGGCAGTAGCTAACAGCAGTGGGTTTTTACCTTATACACTGACTTTTTTTTTTTCCCCTGAATAATTTTGAGTGTACATGTTGTCATTTAAATCAGTTGTAGCAGGTTTTGAACAGTGAGTGCTGACTGTTCGTATTATCGGATGAGAACTAAATTTGTGGAAGTTCAGATGTAACGTTTTGTCTTGATTTTTATGGAGAAAAGGGAGAAGAGGAGGCCCTGGGGAGCCTTATAGCACCTTCCAGTACCTGAAAGGGCCTACAAGGAAGCTGGGAGGGGGCTTTTTCCAAGGGCCTGTAGTGACAGGACAAGGGGTAATGGGTATAAATTGAAAGTGGGGAGGTTTAGATTGGATACCAGGAAGAAATTCTTCCCGGAGAGGGTAGTGAAGCACTGGAACAGGTTGCCCAGAGAAGCTGTGAATGCCCCATCCCTGGAAGTGCTTAAGGCCAGGCTGGATGAGGCTTTGAGCAACCTGGTCTAGTGGAAGGTGTCCCTGCCCATGGCAGGGGGGTTGGAACTAGATGGTCTTTAAGGTTCCTTCCAACCCATTCCATTCTATGATTCTGTGAATTAAAGATTATAATGTGAGAAGTATCCCTCCTCCACCCCCCCCATTGTTTTCCTGTTATGACTGTACATAGATAATACAAAAATAGCACCCTAATTTTCCAAGACATGATTCAGCTTGAAACTGGGAGAGGACTGAAAAATATTCTGTAGTGACACTGAACTTGCATTAAGGAACAGTTAAAAGAAAACCAGTAACTTTGCAAATTTGAAGCATTGAGAAGTTCTGGCAGTTTGATCTGAGGGTCTCCTGGGGGCTGTACTGCATGAGACCCCTCATTGCAGCCCGAGGCAAACACTGGGTTCAATGTCGGGCACTCATAATCTGCTTGGATGATGTGCTCAGGTGCTGGTGGCATAGAAGAGCCCTTGCAGTCCTACCGCTCTTGCTGTAGGAGGTTATTTATGGACCTCCTTCCAAGGTGACCTGGTGCTTGGACAGCCTTTCTTTCTGGATGTGGAACTGTTAAATCTGAACGGAGGCAAACGAGATATGGTAGTTGAAGGAAAACATTTCCAAAGAGTTTTCAATTGGTGCGCAGTCTGTTTTTCGATTAACAGTATATATTTGCATTTTGTCGGTTTAGTGTGTGCGGGTTCTTCTGGAATGTAAGACTGAGTGTGAACTCCCTTCTCCTGTATCTGTGAATAATGCAGAGTAATACAGAATACTGTGGTACATCCCATAGCAGCTCAAATTGCTTTTACAGCATGAAATTCTGCTATTGCCTTTCTAGAGGATGCTGAGTTATGTTTGAAGCTTTGACTTTTCACTTCAGAGCACTCTGTGCAGGGCTTAGGCTATCCAGAGGATCTCCTGAGGGTGGATGCCAACAAATCTGCTTCCTTTGCTTAGTGGATATGTTTGCAGAGAGGATGTTGCTTGCTGTGCAGGAGATCGCTTTTTTGGAGAGAGGAATTGGTAGCGTGATATGGTGAAGGATTTGGTTTCTTCTGCCTAGTGTCTTAAATACATGTAATTTGAATTATCAGTGTTCATATTTATAGTCAGGTGCCAGCACTGAAATTTCATTTGTTTTAATGTGGAAGAGATTGGGAGCTGTTCTTATACTCCATGCTTGTGACTCTGGTGGAATGGTGTTTGTGTGATAATCATATTCAGTGCAACTCCCTGACCATGGCTTAATTATACTAATTTCTCAGTTATTTTTGCTGCAGAGAATCTACAGTTAATCTACATCAGTAGAATCTTTTTTTTTTTCACTCTTGTTTTAGCACTTCACAACACTGTTAACTTCAGTCACCACCCAAACAAGCTAGCTGTATCACATGACCAGCATGGGTGTATTAAATCTTGCCTTGTGTTGTGGGGTCTGAGATCTTCCTTTGTTTTATGCTAAATAACGGGATTAAATGGTTTAAGAAAATGCTGCTCTTCTCCCTGGTAATCTAGTGTCTTAGTATTTCGTTAGTTACTGGCTTTGAATTAAAAAGTGTGAAATGGTTTTCTGCAGAATTCTCACTTGTTTTGGCAGGTTTTACTCTGTAACACCAGTACGAAGTTCATTGTAGATTACTGTTCATGAAACATTATAATAAAATTGGACCAGTTATTTTAAATAATGTTCTACTTAGAATGGAGTAAGCTGTATATCCACCTTGAGTTCTTTGTTGATGTGCATGAGACCATCAGTTTCTCCACTGAAGTCCTCCATGCTTAATTTTAGATTGAATTTAGATGTCCAAAATGGATAATGACCACCTGAATTTCCCTTCTCTGTACCTCTTAGGAAGGTTTCTGTGATAATATTGTATGACTGCTTTTTCCTTAGGCTTTTGAAATTAAGATTTTTCCATTAATCATCTCTTTATGGTGTTCACATGTAGGCAGTAATAAGATCTTTTAAAAACATATTTAAGAGAGTCTCTGAGAGTCTGATTTTTTTTTTTTTTTAAAATAGCATAGATCACTCCTGTATCACTGTATTCATTTGTAATTAGGTAGACTGACTTTTCCCCATTAACAGTCAGGATTACACTCAGAATTATTGATTTCATAATTAGGAATATAGAAGTATTTGTTTTATTAGTAATTGCTTTTAGGACTATTAGGCAGTTGAGGCAGTTTCATTCTAAATAGTCTGTTCTACTTTGCTGTGGGGTCCTCCACGCAATGTTATTTGGAAATATTCTAGGCAGTTACTTCTCTGGAAAACAAAGGTTGGCAATCTTAACATACCTGGACTCTGTCTTAAAAAAATACCTGAGTGTTACTTTCAATTACTTTGATAAGAAAGGTTTTGGTCCTCTGTATGTATTGGTCGTACCAGTTTCAGACATTAACTTCTGTAATTTAATTGCTTCTATTTTTTTTTAATTAATCCATTTGCAGCTGTGATGCAGATCCATCTGCCCTAGCTAAATATGTTCTGGCTTTGGTAAAGAAGGATAAAAGTGAAAAGGAGCTGAAGGCATTGTGTGTTGATCAGCTAGATGTATTTCTTCAAAAAGGTATGGTCTTTGTCATAACAATTAACCTTGACTGAGAAGTCTGTCCTGTTTAATTCATTCAGACAGTTTTTTACAATAGAATCACATGTTTATCTCTTCATTAGCTTTGTTACTTTGAAGTATATAATTCAATTTTCATCAAGTAATTTGTTTTAAAACAGAGGTATATAGCACAATATGCGTATATCAGTTGTGTTGCGTCTGTTGGTATTCCTGAAACAAAATTATGGATGTTAAGAGTTGTTGCCAGAATCCAGAGTATTGGAGCTGTGTATATATTCCGGAAATATTCTTCCAGATGTGTTATTAAGGGACATTAAATAATTCCAGTTTTGCAAACCTTTATGAAAAATTATAATTATTGATATGTTTCTTAACTCTGTAAATGTAATTTTAAAATAGAAAATGAGCAGAAGTGTTTAAAAAAATACAATTCATCGTTTTAACCTTCTGGTGAATTTTAGTTGGTTGTATTTTTTGGGGGGTGGGGGGGTTTAAAAATTTTTTTTTATTTTTAAAGCAAACGTTAACTGACGTTTTGCATAATGGATATTTTTACTTTCTTTACTTTTAGAAACTCAGATATTTGTGGAAAAACTGTTTGATGCTGTGAATACAAAAAGCTATCTACCTCCACCAGAACAGCCATCATCAGGAAGCCTGAAAGTAGAATTTTTTCAGCACCAAGAAAAAGAGACAAAAAAAGAAGAGGTAGGCCTTGATTTTATTTTAAATTAATGAGGTTTTTTTCCTCATTCCTGTAGTTGCTTGTGGTGTTCAACTTCATTGTGTTTGTTTGTTTGTGAATAATAGTCCCCAAACTCGTAATACAGCATTCAAATGTCAGAAGATTTGTGCCTAGTATGTTGAGCAATTCTAAGTGTAAGTGGATGCCTCAAAGGTGAATCAAAGTGGTCCTGACCAGGCAAATGTAAATAAAGTTACTGAGTAGTGTAGGAGTTGCTGTACAACCTACATTAGTTCTTCGCTCAGGATTGCTGTTGTAGTTATGCCACCCTTTAATTCAGCATAAATTCAGGTTGCCATTGGAAATGTCAGTCTGCATTCCCCCAGCTGCTTAATCCAGATAACATCCCTATTCCGACACAAGTGTTCATGTTGTTCTTTGAGCCAGAAAAGAAGTCTTTTTCAAAAGAAGTCCTTTTCAACAGCAGTCTAGGTTTGGCTGCATGGAGGTGTTTAACCGTGATCTGAACCAACTAACTTACTGATAAAGAAAACACCTTACTGTATCAATTGTTAAATATTCACATCTTCCCTGATCTGTTGCTTCACCTCAGTGTGGGTTTTGGTCCGGCTGTAGCAACAAGCCAGATGTATTTTCAGTACAGCACAACAAAGATTGCTTATTCCGCTTTATTTTCTCCCACCCCGTACTTTGCATATTTCTAGACATAAAATCTAATACGTTATGAAGATTCTCTAATTGCGTTAGAGACAAACATTTCAGTTCAGTGTTACTGCTGACTTTGCTCAGCATTTTGAGGCTTTTTGGTTTAATTTGATTGTGAGGAATTCTCCGTTTGTAGTGTACTCGTGTTTTGAGCTAATGTGTGTATACTTTAAATTCAGATAGTTAAAGAGGAAGAGCGAGAGAAAAAGTTTTCGAGAAGATTAAATCACAGCCCTCCTCAGTCAAGCTCTCGCTACAGAGATACCAGGTAATACATTTTGCTTAGCCTCTTATCCAAAACCATCTGATTACTGATATTTTTGTAGTGTTGCTAAATGAAATATTTCCTTTCTGTATGGTTGCCTAATAAGATGGAAAAGAAGACTCTTACGTATATGTGGTTAAATTGAGAGTATGTAAGTGACAGTGTAAACTGTGTCTTAAGTTGGCAACAACTATCACTTGAGGTATATGATTTATTTTTATATTTGTGGCTTATATTACAATTACTCCGTTCATTATTGAACTGTGATCCTTTAATTTAGAAGCGTTCCCTCAAGTAACTGTTATCTTTTTAATGTTTCCAACTTGAGCAAGGTGCACTATTGGGCAGAAACAATATTTTATATAAATTTTAAAATCATATGGATGGTAAAAGTAAAATGCATAAACCAAATTAAAAAAAATTAAGTCTTTTAAAAATAAAGGAAGGGCCATGGTTAGATTCCATCTGTAGCTTTTCTCTGATTTTTCCATTGCTATTTTGTGAGGTTCTTAATGGTAGTTAGGCGTTTTAATTATGGCTTCATAATTCTTGTAATTAACCTACAAAATCACATGTTTAGAAGCCGTGATGAAAGGAAAAAAGATGAACGTTCTCGGAAGAGAGATTATGACCGAAATCCTCCCAGAAGAGATTCTTACAGGGATCGATACAACAGAAGAAGAGGGAGAAGTCGGAGCTACAGCAGGAGTCGAAGTAGAAGTTGGAGCAAAGAGAGATTACGGGACCGTGATCGTGACCGGAGCAGAAGTAGGAGCAGAACACGAAGCAGAGGTAGCAACAGTTGGTCTCTAAAATACGGTGAATGTTGCCTACAGAATTTGATACTAAAACGCTATGTTAAAAATGTACCAAATTTTCCTCTGTTGTTCTTGTTTCTTTGTTCAAATCTGGTTTGTGTTTCTGTGGAAAAGCTTATGATTATGTCTTCAGTGCTTGTTTTCCCCTTCTTTCCCTCCATTCTTCTTTAATACCTTTGACTGTGTTGGCCATTTCTAAGCAATGTTGTAAGAGAGGCAAAAAATGCAAGTTAATTGCATTTCATTAAGTTTATCAAAACTCGGGGGTCTGGTTTGGGAAGATACAGAAATTAATACCCATCTTTGGAGGTAAAACTGGCAGAAAATACCTGCTTGGCAGCAAATGACTTGTCAATCAGAGGAGTACAGCTCTGTTATTTTTGTCTTCTCTCCTTGGTGTCATCAGGGGGGGCTGGAATTATTACAGTAAATATTTGCATTTGCACACTAAAGGACTCAAGGTTTCAGTGCAGTAGTTGTTCAAATTAAGCTTCTTTAAAACCAAAGCTGTTCAGCTGAAAAGAATGGGTTTTTTCCTCCAGTGAAATAAGTAAATTGAAAAAGAGCATTGAGAGTAATTTTATAATCTCTTTATCTTTCTTAAACACTGTAGGGGTAAGAAATAGTCTGGTTTAAGTCTCCTGTGTATTATTTTTCTTTCTGTGGAATGGGCCTTGCTAACGCAGCCTTAAAAGTGCAAATGCAGAGTTCCTGGGAATATGCGAGCAGGTATTTTCCAAACAGTTTGGGAACAAGCAAGTTAAATAGAATGCAAGAGTTTAACTAAAAGATAGCAGTGTGATTAAATCTTAATTAAAGGTTTATTTTACATAAACTGAAATGGTAATATCTTGGAGACAATATGTTGTAGTGAAAGCTTTGTTTCTTTTTCTTGGCACATTAGGAAAAGCCAGTTTTACCCACACTTACCTGCCATCTTTAAGACATTTTTATTGTTGTTTGACTCAGTTTATCTCATGACAGAATTCCTCTGTCTTAATATGGATACTGACTGTTTCTTTGATGGTAATACTAGAAAATTAAGATTGAATGGTTTGCATGGATTCAGAATAAAAGGTCATGTTACTGCTGTATCTGGCCAGGAGTGTTCCACACCTGTCAAGTACTATTATTTCCCCAGTCATGACAAAGCTTTGCATGTGACTAAATGAATATAGACAAAATGAAGATACAACAATAATACTGTCTTGAAACATCAAAGATGTGTACCTTCTATGGTATTTTGAAGTGGTGGCTACCTTTTTCTTCCCCATTGCTTCCCTTTATTCAGAATAACTTTCCTTCTGAAGTTCTTGGACTAAATGCATCACTACAGAAGATGTACTCTGCTTGAAGTTAAATAGGGCTTCTGCTTTATTGCGGGTATAGCTGTTATTAAAATAGCTCTGTGGCTGACTAAGTACTTTTAAGATTATTATTTTTCTGATTAAACCTTTGAAACATAGAATCATGGAATAGCTGAGGTTAGAAGACACCTCTGAAGGTCATTTAGTCCAACACCCTTTTTTAGAGCAGATGAACTAGCTTGAAAGCAAGTTACTCAGAACCCTGTCCACTTGGGTTACAAATAACTGAGGGTGGTAACTCGACATGCCCAGAGTGCCTATAAAACATTTCAATTATTATTTTTGTATTTTGACTTGAATAGATGTGGAATAAAGATACTTACGTAGATTAGTGGCTGTTTCTGGTGAAAATGTGCTGAAGGAGTCAACCAATATGGCTATGGTTTCATTTTGGTTTATTTTTTTACAGAAAGGGATTTGGGAAAGCCAAAATATGATATGGATAGAACAGATCCATTGGAGAACAATTATACTCCAGTTTCTTCTGTGACAAATATTTCATCTGGCCACTACCCTGTCCCTACACTGAGCAGCACTATTACTGTCATTGCTCCTGCTCATCATGGAAATAACACTACTGAAAGTTGGTCAGAGTTCCACGAAGAGCAGCTGGATCACAACTCCTATGGAAGACCTCCGCTGCCAAAGAAACGCTGTAGAGATTATGATGGTAAGTCTGTATTTTATTTAATTGTTTCCTGCGGCTATGATTGGCCCCTTTCTGAAAAGATTGGGGTAATTTTCCTTTCTTTTCCTCATCTCCCCATGTATTATTTTTTTATTATACAATTGTTGAATGCAAATTTTATCCTACTTTTTATCACTTATCTTTCAGACAGCTTTCTTAGCGTTTGTATAGTTTCTTAGTTTCTAGAATTACATAGATGAAACATAATATATTTTATATTAAAAATTATATTTAAAAAAATCCAGTTTTACACAGGTTTCCTGTCATGTTCAAGCCAAGTACTGTATTCAGTAGTTTTGACCATCATTAGCACCTTACCGACCTCATTATTTTTTATTTCATACTATCTAAGGGATGGAAGTCCAAGAAAGGGCTAGAGTTGCAACTTCCCAGGGTTGTGTTAACCTACTTTTTCTGTGTAGGTGTGTCTTAAAATTGGGTAGGTTTTTTGTGCTTGTCTGTGTCTTAAGCTATCATTTTGTGTCTTGTGCCAGAATCCACACAAGAGGCTGCTGCAGTTGGCAGTGATTTAGGTTGATTCAGCCAGTCAACCTGTTTTATCTGAGGGTATTTGTTGTATACCACAATTATGAGTTTAAAATCTAGACCACTTTACAATCAGAACTCTCAAATAGGATAGATTTTTTTTTTCTTTTTACATAAAGAAAATGAGAGGCTGAACTCTCAAGTGTTGGCAGAGTCATACTAGCACAGAACAGCTTTGCCAGTGTACGTCACAGCAATACTGTAGAGCAAGTAGAGTGTTGTGAAACTCTAGTTTTGGTTTGAAGTGGTTTTTATTAATGCAAGCTGAGCTGCAGAACGCTGTGTCATGGTCTTCATCTCTACAGGTTTTCTAGAAAAGAACAAAACATGCAGGCTAGTATACTTTTGAACTAACATCTCCAGGTGTGAGAGTGGGACTTTGGTATCTTTAACAGTCTGTCTTCTACAGCAGCTTATTGTTTCCAGTTTCTGAGTAGGAAGCAAATCATAAAAGGGTTTGGGTTGGAAGGGACCTTAAAGCCCATCTAGTTCCACCCCCCCTGCCATGGGCAGGGACACCTTCCACTAGACCAGGTTGCTCAAAGCTTCATCCAGCCTGGACTTGACGACAGCCAGGGATGGGGCATCCACAGCTTCTCTGGGCCACCTGTTTCAGTGCCTCACCACCCTCTCCATGAAGAAACAGTCATGTCTTGGAAAACTGTGATACAGTTGTCCTCAAACTTTTACTGTGTTGGGTGTTGGTTTGTTTGTTTTCCCTATGTTTCTGTTTGTGAAATCCCTCAGCAGGTGTCTCTTCCATTTGCTTTTGTCATGGCTGTTTCTCTTCTGAATTTAGAAACTCCTATCTCTTCACTAACAGCTGGTTCCATAAACTGCTTTTCCTATCTGCACTTTCACGTTTTCTACTTGACCCTCTGCAGAACTTCTGTTTTTCCTTAACATTTCAATTTTTGTGTTCTGTAACTCTTCCTGAAGATGAGGTAATCCAGGCATGTTTTCAGCATCATGGTTTGATGGTAGTGAACATTCAGCTTGATTTCTGTGTTACTGGAAGATGTTTTGAACTTTTCCCCCATATTGCATTGTATTGTATTGAGGTTTTTTGTGTCACTAAACAGATAGTCATAGAATAATTTGGGTTGGAAGGGACCTTTTAAAGGTCATGTAGTCCAACTTCCTGCAGTGAGCAGGGACATCCTCGAATAGATCAGGTTGCTCAGAGCCCCATCTGGCTTGACCTTTCTAGGGATGGGGGCATTTGCCACCTCTCTGGGCAACTTGTTCCTGTGTTTTACCACTCTCATCATAAAACATTTCTTCCTTCTATCTAGTCTCAGTCTACCCTTGGGCTGTGTTTTGTTGGGGTAGAGTTAATTTTCCTTACAGTTGCTAGTACGAGGCTGTGTTTTGGATTTGTGCTGAGAAAAATATTGATAACTGATGTTTTTTATTGTTGCTAAGGGATGTTTATACCAAGTCAAGGACCTTTTCAGTTTCTGATACTGGCCTGGTGGTCTTGGCTTCTTCTCTACAAGAAGTTGGGAAGGGACACAACCCGGACAGCTGACCCATATTGACCAAAGGGACATTTCATGCCATCAGATATTATGCTCAGTATATAAGGTGGGGGTGGACCAGGGGTCAGGTTTGTTTGCTTTCTCTCTTGGTCACTGTCTCACTCACTGGGTCTCGCTATGGTGTGATCTCTCTTGGGCTTGGTCTGGTACTCAGGACCTGGCTGGATATTGGTTGGCAGGTGGTGAGCAGTTGTACTATTTTATTTTCCATTACTTAAATTACATATATTATTATTATTAGTTTTATTAGTATTGTTAGTATTATTAATATCACTATATTGTTCATTTATAGTTAATTACTAAATTGTTCTTAACCCATGAGTTTCCTTGTCTTCTCCTCTGATTCTCCTCTGCTGGAGGAGAGGGGAGGTGAGCAAGCAGCTGTGTGGTGCTTGGTTGCTAGCTGGGATTAAACCACAACAGGCCTCTTTTAGTTCAAAATCATTGTCCCTTGTCCAGTTGCTGAAGGCCCTACTAAAATGACTGTCCCCTTTAAGTACTGAAAGGGTGCAATAAGGTCCCCCTGGAGCCTTCCCTTCTCCAGGCTGAACAAGCCCAATTCTCTCAGCCTGTTCCCATAGGAGAGGAGCTCCAGCCCTCTGATTATATTTTGTGTCCCTCCTCTGGTCCCACTCCAATGTTTTCTTTCATGTATAAGAATATAAATCAGTGCTGATTCATTTGTATTTAGATGTGTGCATTTAATATTTACATATAAACACATGTACAATACATACAGATATAAATAACGAGTTTTTGCTCTTACATAATCACATCAAACTATGGCAGAATATTTTAATTGTTTCTGAAATAATTACAAAAGAGAAAAAGAATTGGAGTGAGTTTTCTCATCCTGGAATTCTGTAATACTAATTTCTAACTTTACTAGAGATTTCCCAATCCCAGTATCTGGGCCTTTTTACTTAGAAACTCTGTGTTTTTGTTAATGTGATGATACTAAGATTTCATTCTTTGCTTCACAGTTCATTACAATTCAGTACAGAATTAATTCTTCTAGAAAAATATCTCCTGTATTTATTCCAGTACCTGAAGGGGCCTGCAAGGAAGCTGGGAGGGACACTTTTTTACAAGGGCCTGTAGTGACAGGATGAGGGGTAACGGGTTTAAATTGAAAGTGGGGAGGTTTAGATTAGATACCAGGCAGAAGTTCTTCCTGGAGAGGGTGGTGAGGCACTGGAATAGGTTGCGCAGAGAAGCTGTGGATGCCCCATCCCTGGAAGTGTTCAAGGCCAGGCTGGATGAGGCTTTGAGCAACCTGGTCTAGTGGAAGGTGTCCCTGCCCATGGCAGGGGGGTTGGGAACTAGATGGTCTTTAAGGTCCCTTTCAACCCAAACCAGTCTGCGATTCTATGATTCTGCTAGAATGTCGCCGAAATCTTCCTGTGTGCTGACTGTTAAACAGCCAATTTAGTTTTCTAATATAAATTTCTGCTGGTATGTGAAGCCCTTGATTTACAAACTGCTGCTGTTACACATGGAACATCTCATATCTACTCTGAATTAAACTACAGCTGTTGAATACTAACAATATTTTTTTTTTGATGTTTCAGAAAAGGGTTTCTGTATGAGAGGAGACATGTGCCCTTTTGATCATGGAAGTGATCCAGTAGTGGTAGAAGATGTGAATCTTCCTGGCATTCTGCCTTTCCCAGCACAACCCCCGGTTGTTGAAGGACCACCTCCACCTGGACTTCCTCCCCCTCCACCAATTCTGAGTCCTCCTCCTGTTAACCTTAGACCTCCGGTACCACCACCAGGCCCCTTACCACCTAGCCTTCCACCTGTAACAGGTAATAAAAAAAGATTAACCCCCTTCTTTTTTTATTAGTAGAAAAGCCTGGACATTACCTGGGTTGTGTGCTGTGCAAAAAGCTGTTTTAAGAATGCCAATTACTTTTTTAGAAACTTACACTATGTTGTACTATGGCATAGCTTACTCCCAAATGATTGTGTGTTGTGGTAATCCTCGCAAAATTTGTTATTGTAAAATTTGTGTTAATTGTGCATCCTGAATATGGTATAATTTTTTAATTGTGTTTAAGCAAAAGCATGGCATGGCAAAACTCAGTTCCTTGAGTTTTGTGGGTGAAGTTGTCAGAAACTGACTACTAGCAGAGAAGAAGCAAAGTCCTGGGAACAGCAGGCTCTTTACAAGAGCCTGTAGTGACAGGACAAGGGGTAATGGGTATAAATTGACATCAGGGAGGTTTAGATTAGATATCAGGAAGAAATTCTTCACAGAGAGGGTGGTGAGGCACTCGAACAGGTTGCCCAGAGATGCTGTGGATGCCCCATCCCTGGATGTCTTCAAGGCCAGGCTGGATGAGGCTTTGAGCAACCTGGTCTAGTGGAAGGTGTCCCTGCCCATGGCAGGGGGGTTGAAACTAGATGATCTTTAAGGTCCCTTCCAACCCAAACCATTCTATGATTCTATGATTTGGCACTTTGGTTGTAATACTAAAAGAGAATTCATGGCTACATCAGATTTACACCTGAAAATGTCATTTGTGGTTAGTTTTGAAACTAAACTTGTAACTCAGAAAATTTTCCAGCTTGTTTACTCTTTCCTTGGAAAGTACTTTGGCTCAAGCACTAAAAATTACATGGATACTTGTGTGCCTGGATGTCACTTATAAAATAGCAGTTTGGTATTCTGTTCCCTTGTGTGGTTTAAAAACTGCTAGTTTTATGGCATGATTATTCCTTTCTTTCTTTTTTTATTAACTTTGATGTCCCACTTGGTGAAATTATTCAAGAATAACTGAGATTGCTTGGAAGTTCCTTTAACTGTTTTCATTTCTAGCTGATAGTATATTTAAGTAAGAGCTGAATTTATTTCACTTAGTATGGAGTGTAACTGTATTACTGGGGTTATAATTTCTGCCTCACATGCTATTTCCAGATATTCATGTAAAGTCTGAATGTGTGACTTTGTATCTTTGTCCAAAACACGGTTTTGCCAATGATTAAATTGACTGCTCAGCTTCAAAAGTGTTGCATTACCTGTTGTTTACGAAAAAAAAAAAATCAACCAGAAAAAAACCCCTTGGTTTGAAGAAGGATCCCTTTGACTTTCCACCAGAGTTGTAGGGTTTCTTCTTGGGTGTTCATAAAAAGAATTTCGTTCAAGTTTGTTATTCTCATTATATAATATTTTTGCTATACACTATTAATAAATAGAATTTGTTTCTTTGAGGGAGTTTTGTAGAACTTTAAGGATCTACTGCTGGTGAAGGAAGATACTGGGTTAGCAATTAAATTTTGCTTATAGAAAAAGGTATTTGGAGAAAATTAAACTAAACTATTCAAATGTTTTTTTGCTGTAATCTGAGTCATTTGCTGGTGGGGATGGTTTCATATAAATGAATGGTACAGCATCGTGTCTGTATACATGCCCTCTCACTCCTTTTTTTTTTTAAATAGCCTTAAAAACATTCCAGATCAATTTCCATATGAGCTGAGTGTAATGTGAGTCTAGTGGATAATAAACGAATGCAGTGTTTTCCTTTGTTTGTTGCAGGACCACCCCCTCCGCTTCCCCCATTGCAGCCTGCTGGCATGGATGCTCCCCCAAACTCAGCCACTAGCTCAGTTCCCACTGTTGTTACGACGGGTATTCATCACCAGCCGCCTCCTGCTCCACCCTCTCTTTTTACAGCAGGTGTAGTACTGAGGCTTTGCCCACAAGGTTTGCTAAATAGAATAACATTGTTATTATACTGTACTTTTTAGAGATTGTAATTTCATAGTTTGGGAGACTAAGTTTGTATTGTTGAGACTGTGACAGTAACTTAACACTCTTTTTTTTTCCTGAGTTAGTTCATGACAGAAGTAAAATTTGCATGTAAAACATGAATGTTGACTATGGAATAATATTTTCACTGTGCTGAAGCAAAAAAATTGGCATGACAGTTGTTTTAGGACAGTCGTTATACAACTCTTCCATTGTAACTGTATCTTGTAACGAAATGAAATGTTATATTTGAAACCTTAGAAGTTTTAACTGCAATTTATTTTAATTAGACAGTTTCTTTTTTACCAGAAACGTATGACACCGATGGTTATAATCCAGAAGCTCCAAGTATCACAAATACTTCAAGACCTATGTACAGACATAGAGTACATGCCCAAAGACCAAATTTGATAGGACTCACATCAGGTGATATGGATCTACCGCCCAGAGGTACGCTCTCAAAGATACGCTTAATTAGTTTAGCTGGTTTTCTTACGTTACTGCAGACTGAGGCAGTTTTCAGGGAATGTAATACTGGAAAACATTGTATTTTTTAAAGTCTTCCAGAATTGAGAAGCTTAATTGAATAGAGTTATACTCACAGGCTTTTTGTCTGTGTATTTTTCCAGGTAGAATGAAATCTCTTGCTAGATAATTGCACAGCTTACACTTGGCTGTAATAACTGGTTGCTTTGTACATATTTATACAGAAAGCTTTAATGTTTCTGTAACAGGCTCTTAGGATGATTTTTGCTGTGGAGAGGAGGGAGTCATTTTTATCTGGTAGCAGACAGTTATGCTTGAATAATCTTAACCTTATAGTTCCCATGTCCCTGAGAAGAATCAGCAGCATACAGAATGAGAAAGGAAGAGGGATAAAGCCAATTTTTTAATGTGGTTTTCTTCACCTTCGTATTTATTTGTATTTAATCTTATTCTGTCTCTGTTGGTATATTTTCAGTGAGGAGTCCCCCAGTATGATTCCTGTTCTTCAGCAAGAGCCACTCCTCTCCCACCCCATCTCTAAATCTTGCTTTTTAGGTGTTAGTACTCTGGAGTACTGTTCTTTTCCTATTGGTGTTTTTGTGTGTGCCATCGAATAGTAGAATGGAGGTGTTAGCAGAAATGGTGTGAGCCTCAGACTGTTGTATGGGACATTGTGAATCAGTGAGTGCTGTCATCTTGAGGCAGATGCCTTCTCTCACACCTCTTTTGTTTTCCTTCTGTATGATGTTACTGTGACAAAATTAAAGCTGTTAGCTATTTGATCTGTCACACCATCTGTTCATGTTCAAGAAGGAAAGCCTGTGACCAAGACCTGATCCGGTTTCAACAAGGCTCATTGTAATTTCAAAATAAACAGTTGTGCTTTTCAATGCAAATTCAGCCTGAGCAAAATACCTTTTTACAATCAAATGCACAGAAAATACAAAAAATATTGTAAAATATTTTCATCTGTTTACAGAAAAACCTCCTAATAAAAGTAGTATGAGAATAGTGGTAGATGCTGAATCCAGGAAAAGAACAATTGGTGCAGGGGATGGTGGAGTTCCTACAAAGAAGACTTGGTTTGACAAGTGAGTGATCGTTAACACAAGGTTGGCTTAGTAGTTGGAATTCCATGAAGCTCTTCTCCGTAATCTGTAACATACGTATTTTTCTATAAATTGCAAACAAGTTAAACTGAATAAGCTGACTGTACTGAAATAAATCGTGCTATAGTGTGATCTGTATTTGACTGTCTTCTCTCAAAGGCAGTGTAGAGATAGCTGAAGTTGCTTTGGATGATACCAAGATCTACTCCCTGAAAGCTGGAATGATCTAAGAAACAGAACAGCTGCAGTGTGATGGTTGTTAGGGATGACTGATTTTAGTTTTGGGATGTGAATTTTATCACTGCTATTTTGGATTGAGTTGCCAGGTATGTTACGGACAGAAAATACAGGGTGCAGTGCTTAGGGTCCAGATATACTTGGGGGTGACTAAAGGTTGGAAGGGTTTTTAAGAGATTACTGGGACTGAGGAGAATTGTTGATGGAATAGTTTTTTGAAGTATCTGCAGGGACATTGCATGGATTAGCTGAGAAGTAGTGTGGAAGTCAGGACTTACTGATACAAGCAAATTATTGTAAATTATCTCACAGATTTATGGGCTGTAAGTATTGGTGGGGAAAACTGCAGGTATATGGACCTGTGTGCTGTACTCCTCTATGCTTTTCTAAAATTAGAGTGGTTTTTTTAAAGCCTGTAGATCTTTGTCTCATACACACATGCTGCTGAGCAAGCATATAAAATTTAACATTGTGTCTGCTAGCTTGCTATGGATTTCTGGCTTGATTTTTATTTCTTGCAGGCAAAATTTTAACAGAACAAACAGCCCAGGTTTCCAGAAGAAGGTGCAGTTTGGAAATGAAAATACAAAACTTGAATTGAGGAAAGTTCCCCCAGAACTTAACAATATCAGCAAACTTAATGAGCACTTCAGTAAGTTTGGAAACTTAGTCAACTTGCAGGTAAGTCAGCAAAGAGAAGGCAGTATGCTTTCACTTAATGATGCAGGTGTTTGCTAAAAGGAGAATGCCAGTTGTTTTTTAACTGATTCCCTAAAACTGTTCTTGTAATTTTCCTAACTTGTTTCTAAAGCACGATCTTGTTTTTAATAGAAGCAGAAACGAAATGCTCTAGTCGTCTTTCAGATTTTGAACAAATGTTTTCCTCACAGATAAGACTTCTAAGATACATTTGTTTAAAACCTTGAAAATTGATTGGAAGTGCTTTTCCTTCACCCCTCTTCTCAAGTTTGGATCTGATGTTATAAACACTGTACTTTTTGAGTTAAATTCTAAGTACAGAAAAGCTGTACTTCTCATCCAGAGAACAGTCCCTGTGATATAATTGATTTCTAGTCCCATAGCAGTGGTGGTTTACCATCTGTCCTTCGAAGGTGGCTAAAATAGTATGTTAATGCCCAAAGGAGGAAAAACAAAATGAACTTTGTTGTTTAGCTCTCATACTAGATGGGACATTTATTAACTGACCTCTGTATTTTTTGTAGCAATTTTCTTTACTTCGGTGGTGCTTCCTCTTGTCTTTCAAAAACCTACTGTTATTTGCAATCAAAAATATTGTTTGATTGTTTAAGTATTTTTATGTCAGTTTGGTTTGGGTTTTTTTAACTGTTCTTAAACTTTGAGCTTAATCTCAAGGTTGCTTCTTGAGGCTTTTCAAACAGAATCAAACAGAACAGGAAGTATTTATCTGCTGACCCATATCATGTTTAAATTTTAAGCTGCTGAGCTTTGAAACTACTGATTTTATGATAATTGATACAGAAATGAAAATCCTACATGCTGTAAGGTTTTTTCCTCCTTCTGTTTTAAACCTTAGGTTGCATATCAAGGTGATCCAGAAGGTGCCCTTATTCAGTTTGCCACTCATGAAGAAGCAAAGAAAGCTATATCAAGTACAGAAGCAGTATTAAATAATCGTTTTATTAAAGTTTATTGGCATCGGGAAGGCAGTGCACCACAAATCCAAACTACCACACAGAAGGTAGAGGTTCTATGTCTGTTCTGTCTAGAATGCTATGTAAAATACAATTATTTAAACATTTAAAAAATGTTTATAGAAAGTAAACTTAAGTACTTCTGAAATAATGAATAATTCATGTAGTTCTTTTGGAAAAGTTACTTTTTAATTGTAGATTCTTTGACCTAAGATACAAGGTTCAGGAGTTGATTAGCAAGATAAGACTGAAGGCATTTAAAGAAAGCCCTTCTGCTGCTTACAGAGAATTCTACTCTGTTATCATCTCTTGTGAAGCAAGATGTGATGCTACTGTCTGCTGAGTTAACATCTATTTTGCTTTAACTAGTATAGGCTTTATTTTTTTTATTCTGTTGAGCATAAGATGGCAGTTTGATTTATTTTCTTGGAAAATAATCTCCATTTTCTTCCTAAAGGTGCTCTTTCCCCTTCTGCTGCTTACAGAGAATTCTACTCTGTTATCATCTCTTGTGAAGCAAGATGTGATGCTACTGTCTGCTGAGTTAACATCTATTTTGCTTTAACTAGTATAGGCTTTATTTTTTTTATTCTGTTGAGCATAAGATGGCAGTTTGATTTATTTTCTTGGAAAATAATCTCCATTTTCTTCCTAAAGGTGCTCTTTCCTATGAGCATGCATACTGCTATAGAAAGTAGCAATAGAATTTGTTTCACATAAAGGAACCTATATGTATATACAGATATACACACTATATATGTAGAGAGAGAACACGTGGAAACAGCAGCGTAAGAGGAGAGCTTTATTAGAGAGACTGTTGTGGAAATGGATCCAGGGACGTGTTACATTAAGTGGGGAGGGTGATGCTGATCTCTCTGTTACTGTGTCAGGCTGCACGAGAGTGGTTCAAACCTGTGTCAGAAGAGATTGAGACTGGACATTAGGACGCATTTCTTTACTGAGAGGGTGGTCAGTCACTGGAACAGGCTTCCTAGAGAGGTGTTCAGTGCCCAAGGCCTGTCAGTATTTAATAATACCCTTAGTAACATGCTTTAAATTCTGGTTAGCCCTAAAGTGATCAGACTGTTGGACTAGATGATCACTGTAGGTTCCTTCCAACTGAACTACTGTACTGTACATTTTTTTGATTGAATTGCACAGCGGAGCACCTATTGGGAGCACCTATATGTGCTTAGTACAGGTACAGTGGTTGTACTCAAATATGAAGCTTGGATTCTCTTAACAGGTGTGTTACTGGATAGAGTGTCCTGTCGGCTCCCAGTATAGCAAGTCCCTCTAAATACTTGGGTATCCTGCTTTAACTGATTTGCTGTCAGTGTGGAACAGTACATTCTGCACTTCAAAAATGTGAGGCAGGCTCTGGAGGAGAAAAGTTAATTTATGTATGTACGCAGATATGATGAACAAATGAGTTGTTAGAGCAGCAAGTAAAAGAATCCTCTAAGTTCTGAATTCCTTCTTCCTCTGGATGGTGTATGGCATAATCATTCAGAATCAGTGACCCATTTTTCCATAACAATCCTGCTGTAGGGCATTATAGCTAAGTTTCCTTTCTTTCCTTTTGTTAGGACAAATGCCCCTACAGAAGTTCAGTTTTAATGACATGTATCGCACTATCTCCCCAGTCATTCTTTAAAATTTAGTTTGGGTTTAAATCTGTAAATGTCCTTGATGCTTGATCTGAACTAGTGCTCCTCAAAATAGTATTTGTGTTCTAATCTTGATTTACCTCTGATCAGCCAAAAGAGGGCAGTGGAGTCTGTCGTGTGCAATCATCCAATCCCTCTCTTGAGGACAGCCTGAAGAGTCACTGATATCAGTATTTCCAAACTAATATCTGATCTGTATATTTATTATTTTGCAAAACATCGATTTTAAGTAGTCTTTCAGTTTTTAGTGATATTACTAGTTTCCCAGCACACCACTTCTGTCAAGTTAACTGTGGCTGAGAGTGAATTCCCCTGGGTACCAGGTACCAATATTAAGGGTTCCTACTTCACCGAGGACATCATGTGTCAGGAAGCTACAATTTGAAGTCTGTTATGGGTGATAAAGGGCATACAGTGACAAGAAAAACTTAAAAGGGAAATTAAAATTTTAAGTGCAATGCTTTCATTTTCCTCTACCCCAAAATATAGCAATTATCTAATTGTTGAGTCAGTAAACAGGTATTTAATTCATATGCGTTTCAAAGTGCATGAATGTTTACTTCCCTTTTCACTGAAGCTAGTATTTGGTATCATATCTACAAGTAATATAGGAACTCTTCTTGTAGTACTTCACACACTGTAAGTATTGAAATTTTGGTCAAGATTTCTGGTGTATTACTTAATTACAGCTGAATTAATTTCACCTATATTTGTAATGGTTTCTGGCCAGATTTTTTCTGTGTCAGACAGTTGTGGTTTAATCCCAGACAGCAACTAAGCACCACACAGCTGCTTGTTCACCTCCTCCCTCCTCCAGTGGAGGAGAAGAATGGGAGGAAAAGACAAGGAAACTTCTGGGTTGACATAAGACCAATTTAATAATTGGCTATAAATGAATAAAATAATGATAGCAATAATATTAACTATACCAGTAATACTGAAATGCTACTAATAATATGAAATGAAAATAATGCTTTCTGTTTATAGTAATATGTAATCAAAATAATGGAAAATAAGACAAATGCTACAATTGCTCACCACCTGCTGACCCTTGCCCCCCAGCCAGGTCCTGAGTAGTGAGAACCTGAGAGCCCGAGAGCAAGAGAGATCGCACCGAAGTCAGAGTGAGCCTCACAAGTGAGAGAGCAACCAGGAAAGCCAACCGACCAATAATGGCCCCAGCCCACCCCCACCTTATATACTGAGCATGATGTTTTATGGGATGAAATGTCTCTTTGGTCGGTTTGGGTCCGCTGTCCTGGCTGTGTCCCCTCCCATTTGATTTGATTTTTTTTTTTCAGTATAAAATCAGTTGGCTTTTAAATTGTCCCTTCATTTGTATCTGGTCTTGCACAATTCTTTGGTTACTGTTGTTCCCTCAGCAGGATTACTTTGGAAATTTCTTACTGTAGGAATTCGGAAAGGACTTGGTAAACATGATGTGAGTCGACTGTAATAAACCATCAAATAAAAGGCTTCTGCCAGTATGTGGAAATAGTGTACTCTCCACATCTGTGTTAGATAAACCAAGTTTAAACTGAGTTCTTGGCTTAAAAGTCAGCACAGAAGATTTAGGTTAGATACTAAGAAACATTTTCTAATGCTCAGGGTCACTGAAACACTTTTTCCTAGAGAGGTGATAGGACTTCTTCCATGGGAAATCTCTTAAGAAGTAAATGGGTAGATGCTCTCAGTAATGGGTTAGGTATAGCTGACTTTGCCCTAGTGTGGAGGAATGGATTAGGTGACCTCCTGATGGTCATAAATGAGACAGGAAAGAAGTAGTTCCTTGGAATCACATTTTTTTTGGCCTTAAGTGTTTAATCTTTTTTGTCAAAGGAAAAGAAGGCAAGGTGTCAGCTGTCAGGGCATATCCGTGGTAGGTTCAAAGATTAACTGCTCTGTTTTATTTTTCCTTAGTCCTATGGCTGCATGTCTTCATATCCTTTATTTTTCTGTTTTGTCCCAAGTTAAGCATATAGGTAGGAGATGAGAAGCAACATATCACTTTAAGAAGTGAGGGTCTTCATGATAGAAGTCTGTATTCTGCCTTTGTATAACAAAAGATTGGTGAAAAGAATGGGAATACTGCTTGTTACTTGTTGAGTTCTAACAGGTGGAAATTAAGATTGTCTGAGTAGATTATTAATAGAAACAGGCCAAGGTTTGATCAATTATACAATCTGGAAGTGCAAACTAGATGTTATTGCTGTACTCACTTCACAAATAGTCAGTATAACATTGTAAATCTTACTGTTTATTTTTGCCATCAGGTGAAAAAGCTACTGAATGATAGAAGGGAAGAAACGTAAATCTAAATTCCATTGCAGCAATTTCATTGTGTATTTAGTGAACTACCTATGTAGCAGCCCTTTGTTGTTAATATTATTACATGCTTTTTTTTTTGGGATGGGGTGGTGTTAACAGGTAATACAACCCCTAGTGCAGCAACCTAGTTTACCGGTAGTGAAACAATCAGTCAAGGAGCGATTAGGCCCGGTACCTGCAAGTAATATTGAACCTGCAGAAGCACAGAGTGCCAATACGGAAGTCACTCAGGTATGTATGCTAGTATTGGTTTTTACTCTCAGTTGCACATTTCTCTCTGTGATGGGTTCTGTAGTGTGTGAACGTATTCATATAGTACAAGTACACATTTACTGCTTACAAGTGCCTCTAATTTGATTGTGTTTTGATATTAAAGTTTTCCTCTGAGCAATGATATTTGGTTTTATTATTCAAGCGTGGTGCTTAGTTTTTAGTATCATAGCATTTTGCTTAGTTTAACAAAAACTAAGAGACTCGGAAAATATTTCAGTAATGTGTTCAATTTCAGTTTTCAGATTTCAAAATAAAGTTGATTTCTATCAATGGAACTACAAGTTATCATTTTTTTCATACTGTATCTGTTAAACAGCTAAAACCATAAAAGACCTGTGGTCAGCATCTGAAAGTGTTTTCAGTATTTGTACAGCCCTCTTAATACAAGAAGAATGTAACCACAATACCAGTATGAATAATGACAGAATCTGGCATGTTATTCCCTTTAGAAGTAGCCTTTAAATTTTAATTATGTTGGAAGTATCTCGTTATTAGTATTGTGCCACTACCTCAGTTTTTACTTCTCAAAAGACAGACCACCACACTTTGGAAAATACTTGTAGCCTAAATTCAAGCAATGACTTACTGCAGTTGATGCCTGCAAATACCAGATGTTAGAACACAAAACCTGAAGTATATTTAAAAGGATGTGTGTAGATAATCCTCTGCCAGCTAGCACGTCATGGACTTACTGCAAAAATTATGTAGTATCATCTTTGTTTCCAAATTGAGCTTTATCTTTGTCTTATCCAGTCTATTTGTAGATGTATATTAACTGTAAAATTAAATATCTAAAATTGATTTTTATTATTTATCTTGTATTGTTGATCAGAAGTCCATGGTTTTATTAAAGTGGGTTTTTTTTTTAGAAATTTCTAACATTTGGAATTACACAGGAAACAGTAATATATTCATAAAGTGTGTTTGAACTATACATTTGTTTTGTTTTCTTAGAATGTGACTAAATTGTCTGTGAAGGATAGACTGGGTTTTGTGTCAAAGCCAGTTACTCCAACAACTGAAAAGGTAAGAGAATGTCTCATTCTCTTCCTCTCACATTTAGTTTCAGTAGAATTAATTTCATTATAAAATCCCATGTGTCAATATGAAGTTTGTTTCATAACTGTAAATAAAGTTGTTGAAGGTTAGTTTTATGAAATTTAATGTATCAAAACTCAGCAGATGGCTAAAGGATTATAAGAATACCAAAATATGCTAGGACAGAAGCTGCTGGTTTTTGTTTCAGTATAGTAGGTTCCATTTACTCAGTCATGAAAATAACTAGATTTGTCCAGGATCCTGAGTTCTTAGAGGAATACAGAAATAAATTTAAAGAATAAATAAATTTTGACACTACATACGAATCCGTAGAAAGCCTTTCTATAAAACCTTTTTCTGGGCGTTTGTGTCCCTTAAGACGTGATGCTGTAAACATGTACCCTGTTATTTGGTCTTACAACTTGCAGTACTTGTGAAAAGATAAAAATGGAAGTTAAATCAGTGTAGAAAGGACAAAGAGAGTTAAGGTGGGAAAGGTGGCTATGAGTTACATGTTTTGCCCAGTGGTTGCAGTTTTTAGAACAGAGAGTTGATGTGTTCAATTTAGTAGCAAAGTTTGTGGTGCATGTTTCCAGATCTGTTTAGTACCTTAGGGGACAGACTTCTACAGTGTTTGTAACATTCGTTTGAGAAGACTTCTGGTAGAAAGGCAGCAAGTTTTATCTGGTAACAAGATTCCTCTGCCTAGGTGTGTATCTTTTCTACTGGGAATTGGCTTGACCTGAAAAGAATGAAGCATCCACTGCTTCCCCTGCCCCCTACCCCTTACAGTATGGTAGTTAATGCTTTTCATGGAATCGAATAAGTAAAATTCACTCCAAAGTTACTATGTTGTACTTAACATACAGAGATAACAATGCTTAATGTTGAGTTGTAATTGTAGAGGATGTGTCGTCGACTCATTTCAAGCCGAGCAGTCCACCTAAATGCACTGATCTTGGCTTCTTGCCTGTATTTCGTTGTTGGTTTGGTTAGTTGCACTTTTGTTGTCCTACATTACTTGCAGATGAATGTCACGCTATGTATTCCTGAGCTACACTTTACATACATACTATATGCTTACTTTAGAAAATGAAAGTCTGCTTCAGTTTGACTGGAAATACTCCCCCCCCCCCCTTAGAGTTGAATTATCCGGAAACAGTTTTCTACAAAGAGTAAATTCATGCCTAAAATGGCTTTCTGCTCTGACTTACAGTACAGACTGATTTTGATTAGCTGCCGGGCTGTTTGATGGACTCGTTGTGAAACAGCAGTTTCCTTTGTCATTTTTAGTAGGGTTCTGAAACTTGGTTTGACCTGTTTTTACCTATTACCATCCCTTTACGAGGAAATACCTAGGTTAGTCTATAACCATTAGAAATGAAATGATTGACAGCTGTCAAAAAGCATAGATGTCATGTCCTAGATGTTTTTTTCTTCTGGTTGAGTGCAAGGTTGGAGAAGAACTTTCCAGTAGGAAAGTAAGGAGCTATGTTTCCCAGAGAGCAGGAGGACAAGGAGATGAAAAAGTCATCGTGAAGCCTTTTAAGATCTGTATAGGACTTGCAATTCATGAACTTGTGAAGAGATTCACCGTATTCCTTCTCTTACATAGTGTTAAGAGACTTAGAAGACATTAATGTGTTGCTCCTTGCTCTTCTGTATTAGTTGATGCAGGTATATCTGCTGTGGCGTCTCTCCTTATGTTAAAAGAGATGAGGAAGCGTGGTTCACTCTGCCATGAAGTCAGTTGTTCAGGGCAAAAGGAGTGTGTCAATATTTGTCTTTACTTTGTCCTCTGTTTGTGTGCAATGTAGCCTGTCCTAAAGTTGCTTTGTTATAGGAACTATATGATTGGGACGTGCATACATTAATGTGCTTTAATAAGTTAAAAAGAAATTCCTTCCTCTTTTTAATGGCCTGCTAATAGCATTTTATATCACTTTTTATAATACTCCATAACATGCTTTGATTTCCTTTTTTTTTTTTTGTTCTCTCTGCACTGCCTCCTTTAGAAAATACTTCACTGTGGGAAGATACAGTATAAATAGCACAATGAAGTTAAAAGCTTTTATATGAAGTGTTCCTGTTGTAAATTCTTCTGATCTTTACTGTATTTCTAATGTTTCTTGGCTGTCTCTCTTTTTTCTCCTGCTGATGGGCATTGTGTCTATTTTATGGAGTGCATGGTGACCAGTAGACTCTGCATGCATCTTTTAGTTTTCCACATATATATAAAGTATTAAACTGGAAATTATACCAATTGCATAACTGCTGTGATTTGCTAACAAAGCGAACAAGATCATGCCTATGTTATCTCCAGCCACTTAGCCGTGGATTTTTCAATACTAACATGGCCAAAATGTCCTTTAAGGAATGTGATAAGACAACAGAATAGTCCAAGTTGTCAGGTATTGTGTAGATATACGTAGTATAATTCAGAGAGCTTGTAAAGCAGACAGCTGTGTTCTCAGCAAGTCACGGAGAAATTTTCATGCCTCGCTACAAATGTAGGAGAGAGAACAGACACATGGGAGTCTCTTCCTTTGTTGTACGATGTTGAAGACTTCCCTGTGCTTAGTTCCTTCTGGCTGATTGTGCAAGCTCTACTTTGCACAAACTGCATATGAAAAGGAACTATTGTATCTACTTTGGACCTTAGTTTCTAAAGTACTGTTGAATTTTTGCTTGGAAAATTCATGCAGCCATGAAAAATTGCATTTTAAACATCAAAACAAAACTTCAGCTATTCTTGGGAAAATCTCCATTTTCCTTAATTATGCTCAAATATGTAAAATTTTATATATTTGAAACTTGGATGTACATACGAAATCTTGGTGGAAAAGATTTATAATCCGATTTTTATATTTCTTAGTTATATGATGTGATGCTGCCTCTTAAGAAAAATTGACTTGAGCAACTCCAAATACAATTGGTACACCAAATTTTTATATTCCATATCATCAAAACAGACAAAAGAAAAGACGCTTATATATTTTTAAGCACTCATGTTTTCTTTTTAAAAAAATTGAAATTCACTGGCAAAAAAAAAATAAAATGATTTCCTCCTATAGGTTTTATCCACTTCTACTGGCTTGACAAAAACTGTGTACAACCCTGCTGCTTTGAAGGCAGCACAGAAATCTTTGCCTGTTGTTTCCACTTCCGTGCTAGACTCTAATGAAGCACAGAAGAAAAAACAGGTAAATTAAATACGCTTCTTTATAAAATGGACCTAGATTGGGAACTGGTGACCACTAGAGATAGTACACTATCTATGTATATTCATCTCAAGAGCATGGACTAAACTAGTTAAAAGATTAAATTCGCTACAATGGTTTCTTTTTAAAAAACAAGGAAAATATGCTTTGTTTTGTTACTTTTCAGTGCATTTTCAGGCAGTGTAAAGTTTAAAACTCTAGAAGTTCAAAATGTGAAACACGTTTTCCTGAAAGTAGAATCTCCGTGTTGACACGCGTATTGTCTATTGTGATTCAGGAGGGACTATAGTATAGTCACTATTCTCTCTTAAGCCTTCCTGGAACTGGCCTTTATTCTCATTAAACTGGCCTTTATTCTCCGTGTGTTTTGTACTTGTGACCAAAATTCTTTCTTCACTTAAGAGAGCTGAGAACTGTATGACTGCATTTTATTATTTCTAAACTATAGTTCTTCTGCATCCTTTTTTTTTTTTTAATGCCTAGTACTAGGTTTTTCTCTTTTTTTTTTTTTGGTGATGTTAGAGAAGAAATGCAACAAAACTGTATTTGTCCTTGAATAGGTCACTTGATTTTAGTTTAGTCTGCTTCAGATTTTCAAAACAGCTCAGTAAAGCTCCTTTTTCAGATTTATTGTTATCATTTAGAAAAACAAAATACAGGATAGTATTTGTATTCCTGGTTTCAAACCACAAATTAAGAGTTCAATTCTAAGTTAGATTCACACATAAGTATTGAAAACACTATAATCATTAAACAAAGATTTTAGCCTATTAGTGAACTTCTGTAACTAATGCCTAGTATAAATTAAAACAACAGTTTAGCTGCATGTCAGTTGTGGCATTGGTCCAGACTTTAAAGAAACCACTTCTAAATTGGGGATTTCATTTCATATTTTCTCCCCTAAAACGTGTTTTTCAAAATTAGAGCCTTTCAAGTTATAATGCTAAGTGCCTGTGAAATGGCAAAAAGCTCATAATAACATTATTTACTTACGATAACAGCTGTAGGATTTTTTTTTGAGAGAAGACATTGAAGGCCTGCTAAGTGATTGGCTCCTTTTTTTTCATGTGCTCTTGTGCTCTTTCCTTTCTTCAGAGATTTCTATTACAATATACTAGTACTTGTGGGAAAACATGATTTTGTGGGACTCACTCCCTTCTTTACTTCTGTCTCCCCAGTTTTTCTTAGCATTCATCCCCTTGTCTTATTTTCCCTTTTCCTTCAGAAAAATGATTGTACACTGTATTGCAAAACTAACATTTCCTGCAGCAGAATTTGCCAGTGTTTGGGAATACGAACAGAAACCCTATTACTATTTCTTTTTTATGGCTGTTGTGTATTTACACTCTTTGCATAAGGTAATCAATCCACTTGCAGTCCAATCCCAGTTGTTTGGTGACCTAGAGGTGCAAAACCATCTTCTACCTCTCTTCTTTTATCCCATTAAATATGTTAGTATCAACACTCTTAATTGATTTTTGCAAGTATCCTGCTATCCAAGAATTCTGTGTTCTATATCTGAGAGCAAGCAGCAGTGGCTTTCTCTCAAGCAGCATTAGGAGCTGAGCACTGCAGCTGTGGCATCTCCTGCTTCTCCTTCCAAGTGCGTTATGTTGCAAATTGATCAATTTCAATTAATTTTGATATTCCCGTTGTAATGTCAAGAATTCTGGTTTTAGCAGATGGCATGGTAGTACTTGTCACTTCCAAGTTCTGGTAGTTAGGTGCAAGAGAGGTGGCTTTCCTTGCATACATTCTAATTATGGAAAATAGAATATATTTTCTTTTTGCTTTGTAAATGTACTGGAGAATATGTTTTAATGATGGACTTGTTTCAGTTGCTTTCAAGATACTGTCCTTGCATGTTTGAACTCTTGGATGTTGTTCCTTTTGCGGTAGTGTGTTACATTGTCTTTCAGCTTTCAGTGGAGTTGTGTAAGGGGTTACTTTATACGTAAGTAATAATGAAGCCTTCCCATCACAGATCTATTAAGAAAGATCATTAGTTCCTTCACTAATTTGGCGATGTGTTGTTTTCCAAAACATAATTTGAAATACTGCCTTATAAGTACCTTGAGTTTCTGTTACTAATGTTTTCCATGTTATTGTAAGCTACTACTGTGTAGTTGTCAGGTACAGTATGTTATTCTTCTGGCATTATTTTTCAAAATCTAGAAACTTTCTCTAATATTTTTATGCCTCTAGGAAGCATTACGACTTCAACAAGATGTGAGAAAAAAGAAGCAAGAAATCTTAGAGAAGCACATTGAAACACAAAAGGTAAATATTGGCATTAAAGTCAGCCATTCAATTGTAAAATCTCAGTTCACGTCTCTGAAATACTACAGAATTTGTGAGCACGAGCTACAAAACTGACCTAAAAAAATAAGCATTCTTTTATAATAGTATTATCACATTGTTTTAAGCTTAGAGTTTTAATCTAGCTTGTCTTGTTCATTCACTTAAACTACAAGCTTATGTAATTTAGGTGTGATTTCAGTGAAAATTGCCTAATTTGGGTGCACCATGCATATGTTTTCTGGGAGAAGTGAAGGCCTGAAAGTTGTTCTTGACAAGAGCAGGAAAGATTCATGTAGCAAAGTATGCATGACTGAACTCGGGCTTAGGAGGAAAAAAAGGCCATAATGTCTTTTAAGTTAAATAAAAATTTTGAAATAATGTAAGTATGTTGATCAAACCTGTCCAAGTGAAATAGAGATATCAGATGCTCATTAGCAAATGAATTATTCAGAGATTCAGACAAAGATTTTAATTTAAGTTGTTAAAAGCCCTATATGTTGAGTTTGAAGATCACAGTAAAAGAAAGTAATATTCTGTTTTTCCAGTAGTTGTAATGAGTACTGGAAAATACATCTGTAATAGCAGTTGCTAAGTAAAAAGATTTTTTTATTATTATTATTGGATAGATGCTGATTTCGAAGCTGGAGAAGAATAAAGCTATGAAGTCGGAAGACAAAGCAGAAATCATGAAAACACTGGAAATTTTGACTAATAGCATTACCAAGTTGAAGGATGAATTAAAAGGTGTATCACCAGGAGGAGGGGCTCCTTTAAAAAGCATGAAAACTAAGACTCAGGTACTCAAGTTTTGGACATAATCTTTTTTTATAAGATTAATTCACATGCTTATGTCAGCAGAACAAAAATATGCAGCCGCATCAGCAGTATTTAGAACCACACTGGTTTAATTTTGAAGTAGTCTTTGAAGTGAGATTGGGTGTGCTCTCTTTTTAAAGGAACATAGTTGGTTTTAAAACCATGCTGTTGTTTGAAAGGTTTATCCACTTTTACACTGATATTACATCATTTGGAAAACAGAGAAAAAAAAATACAACCACAAAACCCTGAAATATGTTTTTCTTTTGCCTTATCCAACCTTTTCTGTACAGTCTATTGCTTTCTTAAATTTTTAATAGCAGCCATGAAAACAGTATTTCTTACCAAAAGTATTATCATTTTGCAAAAACTGTCTTCTGGTCAGGTTTAATACACAAACTTCTACATGAAGCTAGTTGACTACTCTACTGGTACATAATTTTCTTGGGTTTTTTTGTCACTGAAATTTTTCAGTATATCAAGCTTTTTAGATTGAAGATTATACTGGTCAGTTTTCCTTTGAACTAGCTACCCATGTTTGGGTTGTACCTGTGAGGGGAGTTTCCCTTCTCTGCTACCATTCTTGTTAGAACAGAGCTAGAACCAGTTTCCCAGCTGCTTAAAGAAGCAATTATATTACCTTTTTTTAAAAGGCAGTATTTTGCTTTTTATAGAAGTATTTGTTCTTGAAGAGGTCACAAGGTGATAAAGAGTTAAGTGAGACTTTGAGAAATAATATTTTAAGAAATTAATGTGGTGTTTTAAGCTTTTCTTGCTTAATTAAGTGAGGAAGTGCATAGTATTAAAAGCATGTTTTTGTACAGTGTGTTTTCCAGTTTAAGACAAAAAGCTTTCATCTTTTCTTGCTGTTTTCATTCAGTTTTTAAATGTTCAGAATGCTTAGTCTTCTCTTCTGATGTTTGGGATTATGTTTTAAAAATCTGATGTAACACCATAAACCAGATTTAAATGGATCGTTAGTTTTCAGTTTGAAACAGAACAGAAATACTGAAATGACCTGTATGTACTCATTGTAGCTTCTTACGTCATTCATCAGTCAGGAAGAAGTTGAAGCAGCATATTTTTACCCTGAAAATGGGCATAGGTTATTGTTTCTGGAAGTCATTTTATATCTGACAACTTCAGTTGCAGTGGAACACTCTACTGTGCTTTACAGCTGGAACTAATAGTCCCAGACTTCAGACACCGCTGTAATAATATTTAATTCTTTTTTTGTGTTCTTTTGAGCTGAAAGATAAGATTTTGTTTTTAATGTTTTTAGAAGTGAGTGGATGTAGTTTGGTGAGAGAAGTGTGAAGGAAGTTACTTACCTGTAGGGTGAATTTGAACTATGAAAGTCCTAGAAATTGTCAGTATTTTCAAAGCTGCATTTGATTGTTTAAGCCATATGTTTTTGAGAATTATTCTTTTGCTGGTTGTGTACATTGCTTCATAAATTTGAACAAGAATAATATTTCGTAACAGTTTTGATCCAAGAGTAACAGTTGGTTTTAGGGCTTCATCACATGCAAGGGAAAGAATCTAGACCCATAGAAATGAAGAAGCAAGTTGCATTATGAAACCTTGGTAAATTCTTGACTAGAAAATCTTGAATGCAGCTTTTTAACCCATGACAGTTGTTATATCCTGAGAGTGATCCAGTAGATTCTTAAAGCAGACAAGAAAATAGTCCAATGACACAAAATAACTCAAAATGGTTGAGATGGGAAGGGACTGTGATTGTCTTGTTCCGTCACCAGGTACCACTAAGAGTCTGGATGTCACCTTTACTCATCCACACTGGCTATTTATGCACAGGGATAAGGTCCTGCCCCCTTGCCAGCTTCTCATCCTGAAGTCAAGCAGTCCCAGCTCTGTCAGCCTCTGCTTATACTAGTAGATGCTCCAGTTCCTCAATCATCTTTGTGGCCTTTTGCTGGACTCTTTCCAGCATGTCTCCCTTGTGCTGAGGGAGCCTGGAACTGGACAGAGCACTCTGTATGTGGCCTCACCACTGCAGAGTAGAGAAGGATCACTTCCCTTGACCTGCTGGTGATGCTTTTCCTAGTGCAGCCGAGGAGGCTGTTGGCCTTCTTTGCCACAAGGACACATTGCTGTCTCATGTTCAATGACTTCTCTGCTACCAAGACCCCTCTTCATCTGGGCAGCCTGTACTCGTGGCTGGGGTTATTCCTCCTCATGTACAGGACTTGGCATTTCCCTTTGTTGAAATGCAGGAAGTGTCTCCTGTGCCGTTTCTCCAGAATGTCAAGATCTTTTTGAATGGAAATGCAACCAGCTGGTGTAGCAGCCACTCCTCCTTATTTTGTGTTGTCCTTGGACTTGCTGAGGGCACACTCTGTCTTAATCCATGTCATCAATGGAGATTTTAAACAGTGTTGACTGCTGGGTTACACCACTAATGACTGGTCTCCAGCTGGGATTTCTGCCACTGATCAGAACCCTGTGGACTCAGCACTTCGTTCAGTTTTCGGTCAGTCTCACTGTCTACCCGTCTGTTTAGCACTTCATCCTTTTGGCTGTGAGGATGTGGGTGACATAGTTGAAAGCCTTACTGGTCAGGCTAAACAGCTTCCACTACTCTGCTCATGTCCACCAAGCCAGTCATCTCTCTGTAGATGGTTCTTAAGGCCAAGCATGATTTCTCCTTCCCTTTCCCCAATCACCTTTTTGTTCTTGATGTTCTTAATATGCTTGGAAAAGATTTCCAAGAGTATTTGCTGCTTCAACCTCCCAGAGGTTGTGGTGAGGCTCTCCAGTATCTCCTTGCCCTTCTTGAGGATCAGCGTGACATTTGGTTTTCTCAGTCCCAAGGAACTTCCTCCCCCAAATGCCATGACCTTTCAGAGATAATTGAGGTGGCTCTGCAATGACATCAGCAAGCTCCCTTAGTACTTATGGTTGCATCCTATTGGGTCCCAGGTATTTGTGTACATCCAGTTTGTTTATATGTTTTGTAACTTGATTCTCTTTCAACAAAGGTAAGTCTTCCTTACTCCAGGCTTTTCCACTGGTCTTGGGATCGCTGATGAAGGCAAGTCTTTCCAGTAAAGAATAAGGAGTAAGAGGTATTGAGTTTCGTGACTGTTCTTGTGTCCTTTGTTGCCAGGTGGCCTTTCACGTTCAGCAGTTGTCCCACATTTTTCACAGCATAGTGTTCCTTTTTGCTGCTGATAGGCCTGCAGAAGCTTTTCTTCTTGTTCCCCATCCCCCTTGCCAGATTCATCTCTAGGTGGGCTTTGATTTTGTAAACCCGTGCCTGCATGTTCAGACAGTTTCTCTATACTCCATCTGTGATCTGACCCTGCTTCCACCTCTTGTACACCTTGGTTTTGGTTTAAGGTTTTGTTTGGAGCTCCTTGTTCATCCAGCCTCCTGCTGCCTTTGCTTTATTCCCTGCATGATCTGGAACTTGGAGGATGTGATTGTTGAAAATCATCCTGCTGTTCCAGCAGATACCCAGGCCCAGGATCTTCAAACAGGAGGCTTCTTCCAGTTGTCTCATCTGCTCCTTGTACCTGATCAGTCAGTGTATAGTACACACCCATTGCAGCGTCACCCGCGTAGGTGTGCCATCTTAATCCTGACTTGTAAACTTTGGACTCACTCATCCTCTGTCCCCAGGCTGTGCTCAAACTGCGCTTTCACGTAAAGGGCAGCTCCTGCTCCTCACCACCCTGGCTTGTCCTTCCTTAAGAGACTGTATCTGTCCACTGCACGTGGTGTGAGTTTTCCTACGATATTTCTGTAGTCCTGGTGAGATTGTAGCCCTGTAACTGCCCAGACATCTAATTCCCCCTTTGTTTCACATGTTGTGTGTGTTAGAGTACAGGCTCTTCAGAGAGGCACTGATTTCCCGGGAAAGAAATGAGATCCTGCCCCATGATACGGTTCCATAGGCCCTCTCTCGTTTATGTGGATTGCTGTGTGTATGCTTGAGGTGGTCCCCCTTCAACCTGGTTTTGTTGATCTTGAGAACTCTTCTGCCTACCTCACCCTTTTGCTTGGCAACCTGGTCCACCACTTCCTCGTGTGATTGTTGTTTTTAATTAGTAAAGTGAGGCAATAGGCCAATTTGAATTACAGTTTTCATTAAGTTCTTGAGCTGGTTTTCCATTTCCTTTGTAATATGGAAAGGGAAGAAACATTTTAAGGAAACGTATTTCATAATTGACAAAATATCCAAACTGTAGAAAAGGTAATTTTATGGATAGCTTTCAGGGAGTTTTGTGTTCTCTTTCAAATGTTTACAAAACAATGCTTACCAATAACACACAATCAGTCCTATCTGACCTTGGTGAAAGTGAAGAATTAACACAGCCTTCAGTTGAAATTTACAACTTTGACAGTTTTCTGAAAGACTTTGCTCTAGGTTCTCTTGCATTTTCTTCATATTTTAAAACCTGGCAGCTCAGAAGACTGGGCAGACTTGAACATGAGTTCCATGTGACTGTGCCATTGTCTTTACAGATTTTTGTCTTGTTCCAGTTTATGCAGATTACAAAATACTCTTCCTCCCTGAGTGTTGAAACTTTTGCTGTGTCTTGGTTTATTTTGAAAGAGGTATTTTCTTTTTGAGGCCTGGCACAGCTCTATAAAAATCTTCATTAAGAGCATTAGAAATAAACCTCAGAAGTCTAGAGACTTTCTTTACAACACCAGTGTCACTGGCTGCTTTGTGAGTTCTAACTGCTGGTCGCTATTAAACTTCAGAAGTGATTGTTTTGCCATGTCGTTGATGTGTTGCAACACAGTGGGATTTGAGAAAAAGACTGTTCCCAATTTTAAAATCTTCGATAACCGTTATACAGTAGAAAGTGGATTTTTGCTGTGGTTTCTGTAGATAATCAGAAAATGGGGCTGAAAGGGCTTCAGGTTGAAGTTGCCCGTTGAATAACCCAGCTTTTTTTCTTTCAAGCTTCCAGGAAAAAACTAAGAAACAAAAAAAAAAAACCCCAAACCCACCTTCTTTATCATTCAGTGGTGATACTTGTTTTCCAACTGTCACAACTGCGAAACCTTCATCTCTTGACAACCAGCCTTTGAATAGAATACATGCTGTGGTTTTCAATCAACGGGTGTAAACGTAAAAGTGTTTCACAGTCATCTATAATTTTATCCTTCATTTGTGATGTCACTAGAACATTTGGCTGCTGTTTTTTCCATTTAAAAAAAAAGAAAAAAAGGCAAGCTTCCAGTTTGGAACAGAACTTCATATAAAATTTTCATGGTCGCGTAAAGCCCTTTCTTGCACCTGTAACAGCACCTGCACCTCCGTGGCTGCAATGAACGTATCTAATTTTGGGTTCAGAGACACCATTCAGTTTCATATATATTTTTGAACTTTCTAATATATTTTTTTTAACGTATTCTGTGCAGGAAGGCAACTCGGGGTACATCAGAGACCAACCTCTTGTTAGCAGAGGTCGTGTTTTTTCTACTGTGGTCTGAACAGAACTACCATTTGTGCTTTTTGCATTATGGAATTGTGATAAATGTAGATGCTTTTTCTCATTACTGATTATAGATTTTGAATTCATTCATAACTGTACTGCATTTTTTGTAGAACCCTTTTTATCTCATCATCACTACCATATAATTTTGCATCTTCTGTGTATCTCTAGTTTAGAAAAAAATCCAGTGGCTTTTTGCAGTAGGCTAAAAGCTTTGACATCACCAAGCTCCGAAACATACTGCCACACTGAAGTTTTATCTTGCGAAGAAGGCTCCTAAGCTTGTGCTTTGTTTTCGAAGGTGGAAACCTAGCATAGTAAGCAGTATACCTGCAAAGTTATAGTTGTGTTCTGAATTAAGCAGCCACAACTTGGTTAAGTTTAAAATTTGGCGACAGCTTCTAGTTTTCAAATTCCCATTCCTTAGAGTCTGTAGGAATTCGTTTTACAGACAGAGGTGTTGTGGCAGACTTCTGCCTTACTTGGAGGCCAGCACTGGCCAATCCTTATGTTCTTGTGTACTTCTGAAATAGCCTGCTGATAGGAGCACAGTAGTAGATTCTTGGGGTTTATCAGATTTTCTTTTCCTCAGTAGAGAATGTGAACTGTTGAACTAATAACTTACTGTAACAATTTCTTAGATGCAGAAAGAGTTACTAGATACTGAACTGGATTTATACAAGAAGATGCAAGCTGGGGAGGAAGTTACTGAATTGAGACGAAAATATACCGAGCTACAGCTGGAAGTATGTTTGTCTCTTCTTTTGTAGCAGTTAACCTTTAATCAAGTATTTTCATATGTGTTTATTAGCTTGTGTATTGTATCATGGATATTTTTTTCCAGAGTGCAATATTAAGTTGAATGTAGATGGAGGCATTTAGCAATAGTATTTTTGAAAATAGTTTTCTGAGTTCCACTGAGGTAGAGTACTAGTATTGTCTTTAATTTTGATTGCTAATCTGTTTAAATTCTGTAACTATTTAGATGACGTCATATTTTGTAGATTTGTGGTAGTAATACTTCCTTGAGAGTGAGGAGTGTTTCTCAGTTGTTGCCTATGGGTGGTGGCGTGTTGGATACCAAGAGTTAAAAAACACTGCTTGATCTTTTATTCCTAGGTGTTAGCATCTCCTTAAAGAGATTAACCAAAAAGGCTGAAGTGCCAAAAGTAGTATTATTACAGCATTGATTTCAAGAGGAGGACTTATCAAAAGCAGATACAATGTTTCAAGAAGTGTTCAATGTATAGAAACACGCTTTTTCTTAAATGTACTTGCTTTTAAAAAAAATTAAGGCTGTGCAAGATTCTTCCTATCTGTGTCTTTTTTGAGATATTCTGAATGCTGTGGGTGTGATTCTGTGTTATATTGCACTGTCTTGCCTATGTGGTTGTGTAATATCTGCTTAATTGCATGATAATCTTATCTCTTTTTACTGTTAAGCAGGCTGCTGTGTCGCTTAAGTCCCTCTTGTCTTAATGCAGTTTGGTCATGTCTTATGTATAACTACCTATGAACACAGTGCACATGCGTATGGCTAAGTGGCATTAAAATCCTTCTTTAAAACCAAATTGTTACACAGCTTTGGTAATTGTGAAGAGAGGTTTGTTAATAAGCCAGTTGAATAGAGATGACATAAAGCTTATGTTAATAATATATTCGGAAGGTGAATAATAAAAATTGTACGTTTTAGAAAACGTGAATTAAATGATCTGTAAAATAGCAGTAGAAAAGTAGGTGCTTCATGGAGTGTGCTGATCCTACTCTGTCACTGAGTCTGTCTGTATTGTGAGTTGGAAAAAAGTAGCTCTTCCAGGAAAATAACTTTTTGGTAGTAAAATTAGTATTTTGAGGCCTTTAGCAAATACTGATCGAAGTAGATGGAGAAAAGCAGGTTTATTAGTAAATCATGCCAGTGTTTTTCAAGGAACAGCATGAAATGTATCCCTTCTGTAATTTACCACAGGGGTATGTGTGTTTTGTTTTTGTTTTACCTAGTTTGTTTGATTCTTTGTTATTCTTACAAGTTCTTTATTTGTCTTTGTGACCTTAGCTCCCACAATATACATGTGCTGGTTCTGTGGCTCATAACCTGCTGTTCTGTTCCAGGTGGCCCTGATTTTACTGTGAGAAAACACAAACAGTACACAGCATGATTGTTAAGTCAGCATAAACTTTAAGCATTTAAAAATGTTAATCCCGCAGGCAGGGGGGTTAACCTTTATGGAAAATAAAGAGTGAACTATATGCTATTGTATAATTATCTGAACAGTTTAATGAATAAAGCCACGAGAGATCGATGGACGATCCGTCCTCCTCATGGACGATACCGTTGGCATGCGTTAAAGTAGTGCTTTCAGTGCTTGAGTTGTAAATGTTGTAGGGTATGTTAAAACACTGCAGGATCATTACGGTGATTTCATCTAGCATTTGATTCCCACATCAGGTCTATTTGGGTTTGTAAAGATTTTTTTTTTTTCTTGTTAGAAACCTAGAAATTAAATCCTTGAAAGTGCTTTTTTAAAACTTAAAATAGCTTTTGCAAATTATTTTTAAATGGCTGTCAGAGATGCCCTCATCAGCTTTTTAACTTTTCTTTGAGAGTGAATGCCTGTTCTTTAGAAGGGATACACAGATATCGTGGGAATGAAGATTAAAGAGTGTGCAGAGCCATATTTTTAGTGAATACTTTGTCCTTGGAGGTGCTTGTTAGAGCCTCCGTTTCGTACCTCACAATTCAGCTATTATGCTACATTAATTCTGGTTAGAATAAAAGTCCTGGCTGGACTTTCAGAGACAAATTAAGAGACAAAGATAAATAGACTAATTAATTAGTTAGTCACCACATCAAGGAAATTTTAAAATGAAATTTCATACGTTGTACTGCAGTTCCTTTCCTATCCTCACAAAGGCTTTTTTGATGTCTGTTTTTAATATCTGGGTCTTTTTTCCTATTTCCATACTATTTTTGATCTGGTAATAATTAACAGTATTAGCTTTTTAATGTTATTAACATGTTTGACTTTTGTTATTTCAAGTCCTGTAAGCTGCTCTTTGAGGCTTGTTTGGGGATGTGTTTTTAGGAAACGTTGGAATATGTGTGTGTGAATTTTGTCTAAATATTTAGATTATGAATTTTAATCCATCAATATGTTATGTATAAACATCTTAGGCTGCCAAACGAGGGATTCTTTCTTCAGTTCGTGGTAGAGGGGTTCATGCAAGAGGTCGGGGTGCATCACGTAGCAGAGGTAGAGGAATACGAGGCCGGGGTAGAGGCAGAGGAGTTCCTGTGCATGCAGTTGTGGATCACCGACCTAGGGCATTAGAAATCTCTGCATTTACAGAAAGTGATAGAGAAGATCTTCTTCCTCATTTTGCGGTATGTGGCAATTTCACTTTTTCTGTTCTTCGGATGATACTCATTTCACTTTTTCTGTTCTTCGGATGATACTCTTCTGTTAAATGTCTGTTTCTCTTGAATAAATTCATCTGGAAATATTGTTTAGGAATGAATCTTTAACATTATGTACCTGTTCATGGAAAAAGAGGGTGCATCAGGAAAAGGTGAAACAAAACTGAAATTAGACCATTGGTTCAACTGGTTGTTACTGTAATGGCCTAGCATTTAGGAACCTTGTGTCCTTTCTTAAGAAGAAAGGAAATTAAGAATCTGAAGTAATGACTTGTAATACTTGTTCAGGATAAATGTAAAATTGTTAAAGTCTTAGGTTAGGAAGATAAAATAGCTGAAGGGGTGGTGAGAACAAAGACTGTTTAAGTGCCAGACTTACAATACCTGAAGTCTGTTTATTGAAGTATCTTAACAAGTGTTTAATGAAAATTTTCAGTTCTTTCGTCTAACTTTCTGAACTTAAGAGTAAAGGTGAGAATTGTGCAGCTGTATCCAGTTCTTGGCAGAGCAGCCAAAGGTTTCTGTCTGTTCATCTCTGTGAGATTAAAAAGTCAGATCTTTTTACAAATTTTTTTTTTGTTTTAGTCTAAAAAAAAAAAAGGATAAATTGACATACATAAGTTTCAGCAAATTTTTATTTACAGATGAAGTGAGAAATCAACATAAATTCATAAAACCCCTTATTCTCCACAAGGAAAGGTTATAATAAAAGGATATCTGTTTATTTTGTGGAACAAAGGCTAAGAATATCTAATGGCATGAATTGTGTGAATCTTTGTCTATGTCCTCCTCTCTTCCTGCCCCCCTTTGGTTTCTGGTTTTGGTTTTTTGTTTTGGGTTTTTTTTTTGTCTCTGAAAGTAGAAGTCCAAGAGCCAGTAAGTCCAGTAATTCTACTCCACTGAGTAGAAATACTTAGTATTTCCTGTCTGGCAGCCATGCAAACAGCTTTTCAAAAGAACAAGAGCCAACAAGGACCTGTTGTTCCTTTTTCAAACAAACAAAAAAAAATCATAGAATGGTTTGGGTTGGAAGGGACCTGAACACTATAATAATGGGTTCTTTAGGTGTCTTGTTCCCAGGAGCTTGTACGTACGCACATACATAAATATACGCATATATTTTGTTCCCTTTAAATACACTGCATCATACTGATGTAGGGGAACAAAAAGGGAACTGTCATACCCCTAAGGGGAACAAAACTACCTTCTGCAGAGATGGACAACAGACCATGCATTTATACAAACTCTCACATGCTCATCACAGCGCATTTCACCTGTGCTTCATACTTTTATGTTTAAAGTCAGTAAATCCAGAGGGTACAGCACTTGTGTGTTTTGTAAATGCAAATAAAAGTAACTATTCCTTGTAAAGACAAGTATTCTGATTGGCATTAAGACTATGGAAGGTACACTGTGCTAATTTTATATGATTTTTGAGGGCATTTGATTTAGGACAGCATTTTTAGAGGTGGTGAACTATCTCACTAAGCTTATTTAATTAATTATTTATTAAAAGCAATATGGTGAAATTGAAGATTGCCAGATAGATGACTCGTCTCTCCATGCAGTGATTACCTTTAAAACAAGAGCAGAAGCTGAAGCTGTGAGTATGGTTTTCATTGAAAATACTCTGCAATGTTCAACTGCTTTCTATTTACATTATACTTCATCTGATTGAATGTAATACTGCTAACTATTTAAAAAACATATTTTATAAAGTCTTGACACAAGTTTAGTTCTAGATTAAACAAATGTGTCAGAACACACTGAAATACTTAGGAAATTAGGATGTCTTTAGCACACTCAATTACAGGATGTAAAATACAAATTAAGAAAAACGCTTGGGAATTGGTAGCCAGATTTCTTGGTTGATCATTATTTAATTGCCATATTTTTTTAAGTAATCACAGTGTCCCTGAAATTTCATTGTCAACCTGCAAGAGCTGTCTACATATTTTGTCTGGGATCAGTTAGTTGGATTTACCTTTGCCTGAAAACCTGTGATAGTGTAAATGTGATTTGACCTGATGGGATTTTTTTTTTCTTTTAACATTTTTTAAACACTTAAACTATCACAGAAATACAGAATTATAGAAGTAACTGTTAGAGACTGAAATCCAGAGTTGACTTACGTTGTACTTCAGCATCCTTGCAAATGGATCATTGAGACTTTACACATAGGACTCGGCGGGACTCCTGCCTTACTCAGTCTCTGGTGTAGGCAATATGCGAACCTGCACAAAATAATGAACATAGTTGTTCTGCAAATGATTTTGTTTTCTTTAACATCCTTGCATCACTGCTAGGAAAGTGTGTCCTGAAAATAATAGGAACTTCAGAAAGAATGGATTCATATTTACAGTATGGTCGTATGGAAAGATTTCATTTTATGTACGTTTTCCACAAAGTTTCTATTTTTTCACAAAGTTCATCCTGTGGAGTTTATGTGAACACAGTTTTTTATACCTGGCCAGTCTGCTCTTTTGTGTGCTTGAGACATCAGTAACCTGATTGACAAAAACACTGATATTTACAATGTAAACGAAGTTGATGGGGACAGTAGTTTGGAACACTTAACAATATCATCATGGTTATGTCTTTTGAGAAACAGTTTGATGCATGTGCCACAGGTGATTTATGGAAACATAAATATTTTGTTTGTGAAACTCTTAGACATAGCAGTGATGAGCACTACGAATAGGTGGAGTTTTTAAAGCTCTACTCAAGGCGAAGTTCAGAATCCACTCTGGAAAGTTGGGATATTTTAGCTGGGTCATACATGATCAATGCCTGAGATGTCCACATTTGAGTTCGCATTAAAACTTTTAATTGTCTGATGACTTTGTGTCCAATTACACCTTCATTTTAAATTAAATTTTCATGAAAACTGTTGTTTCATCAAATATAGTAAAATTTGTATTTTTCCTTAACACATTCTTAAATATATTTCCACTGGAATTTCTGTCCTTACTACTACAGCAGACTTTTAAGACAGGCAGTTGGTGAAGTTGTAGAAGGTAATCATTAAAAATCTCTGTTGAGGCCAGTTGTGATGTAAATGCAGCTAATATTTTACCTTCTTAAATGAAAATACGCCTAAGCTTTATGACCATATGTTATAGCCTGGAAGGAAGAGGAGGATTCCCTGTTGTAAAATGTTGCATTTTTATGTAGTAGTAATTTCTTCCAAAGATTACAAGTTGTTTCTGGACCTAAATGTCACGTATAAGTACTTTTAAAAATTCTGGTTGTGTGACATTGTGATGAGACCATGGACAAAAAGCTCCTGAGCTGCATTTTAATAAGCATAGACTCTCTTAAATTTATCATAAATTTATATGTACAGATTTAAAATTTATACCTGGAGACTTTAATATCATACAATTCATGTTCAGATGTCATTGAACATGTAATTGTTTCTACATTTCACATTATGCTGTGCTTTCAGATTGTACTATAAATCTTTTGTGACCATGATGGTTTTTTCGGAATGTTGCTAACGCTGATTTATGCTCATTCATGTTACTTTAATTTGAACATACTATTTCCAAAGCAGCCACTTAATGCAGCTGATACTTAGAAAGGCATGAATATCCCATAAGTTAAAAATTTTTACATTTCAATTACGGTGGCTTTACAAGAAGTGGAACGTTTTCCAGTAGATGAGGTTGTAATCACAAACAGGCTTTTTTTTTAGTTTAGGTTGGGTTTTTTAAAAATATATTAAATCATTTGTATTTGTGGAATGTATTACTTCTTCCAGTAAGTTATACATTAACAGTTTTATGTCCGTCTTTGAACAGTGAGGAAGGGTGAAGAACCCATCAAGATAATATTAAAAGCCAGGAAGGTGTTGCTTCAGTATGTTACCCGCATCACCAAATGCTTTATGGTTTTCAAAGCTTATTTTCTTCTGAATGTGTTTTGATCATTTTCCTGAAAGGATGCGTGAATCTCATGTACAGCAAATGAAGTTGTGTTGTCTTAACCTATTAACAGTAATTCTGCACAAACTTATTAGAACTTGGATTTTCTTTTTTTGGTTCATTCCTGGCATTTAAGTATTACTGAAGTTAATTTTTCCTCTGACAAAGAAGTGTATAACTTTTCTCTTAAACTTGTTTTAGGCTGCAATTCATGGATCTCGTTTTAAAGGACAAGAGTTGAAGTTGGCATGGAACAAGCCTGTTGCTAGTATGTCAGCTGTTGAAACAGAAGAAGCTGAACCTGATGAAGAAGAAGTAAGCTTGCTTTTTCTATTTTTTTCCTTCCATTTGTGTTTTTTTTTTTTAAAGATGAAATAATGTAGCTTTTTTCAAAAGAAAATGATGTGTTCATTTATACTTCTTTTTTTGAACCTAACTCATGTTTTGATAGCAGAAAGTGGTTTTATCTAGAAATCAGTTTTTTGTTTACTAGGCTGTCAAAAGTCCAGATACTTTACTTTTCCTTGCAGAAATTTTTATCATTTCTTACACAACAAAAGACTCTAGGGCTTATATCTAGAAAATGGAAGGGGGTGGGTTTGAACTTGCATGAGAGAGATTGAGGCTTTTATCCAAAACGTGGAGGTTTGTACCATCTACTTGATGAGGCACTAATTTCCAATGAAGATCAGATTTCAAATCTAACTTTCTTTTGTAGAGAGAGATGGCTCGAAGGATGCAGGTGAAGGAATAATTTAGAGCATTTGCTAACTTCATGTCAGCCAAAGAGAGGTAGAGTAGACTATCGCCGCCACTGTGTATTCGTATTAGGCATTTGTGCACTCTGATTTACCAAACGCTGCTTACCTTGTATGCGCAAACCTCAAGCATTGTCAGGTTGTAATGAGCCGTGAGTGAACAAGAGGCCACACTGGGGAATCTTCAGAGCATCTTACATATTTGGTCACTTCTTCAGGGGTGTATTGCTTGCGAAGACCAGCAGTAGTTGTTGCTGCAAGGAGTCTGCCTTATTAAGAGGTCTCATTGAATAACTGCTTCATTGACACTTCTCTACTTTGCACAAATCAACAAAGTAAAGACAGAGAAGTACAGATTGGATCATTGATAGGTGAATGACAGTGAGAGTCATCTTTTAACACCACCAGAAGACACTGAGTGTAGGAGGGAGCCTCTGGGGTGTAGGCAGTGGGGGAGGGAATGAAGATCATAACAAGCT